GGGTATTGTATAGCCACAAAAAATAATTTCTCGGTATTTTTTTTGACAAACTATCCTTTATGTGAGTATTATTGTTCCGCAGCGTCAGAGCGAATGGCCTCCATTGTAAGAATCAATCATATGGCAGCGCAAAGTGTCGTGTTGATAGACAAAAAAAAAAGTCACCTGCATTTTCCCGATTTACTCACGCAAAAAATTCCGTTCACGTGACTTGCACTAATAAGCAAACAAATAAATAAATAAATAAATAAATAAATCAATCAATCAATCAATCAATAAATGATAGTACATTGTGAATACGGGTCCTTTAGCTCACTTATTACTCTGCAATAAACGGGTATAGATTAATTTTTTGTAGCATATTCAGCAGCCCAAGTACCCGTGAATTTTGTCAGTGCAGTACTTTATTGGTTTACATGAAAAAAAAATACTTTTTTTCACCTGTTAGAAGTAGAACAAGAGTGTCACCCCATAATTACGCTTCACAGTACATTCGCTTAATCTTAATTGTCAAATAGTATTTTTAGTAGTCTGGGTAGCTAACATGCGAACTAACTTATAAGTAGGTCGGAGTTTATAGTTCCTTTTTGAAAATGAATTAAAATGTCTGATTCTCCGTAAACTATGAAACCACTTGTTTTTCGAGACGGAGAATGACCCATCGGCTATTCCTCTCTCTCTCTCTCTCTCTTTCTCTCTCTCTCTCTCTCTCTTCTCTCTCTCTCTCTCTCTCTCTATATATATATATATATATATATATATATATATATATATATATATATATATATATATATATATATATACTTTACAAAGGTCAAGTTCGCAAGCACTTTAGGCATGAGGTCTATATGTGATTTTGAACCAGTTGTACATTTCCAGCTGTTTGGATATTTGAATGCAGGAAACGTGTGGGCACTATTAGAAAATGCGCTGGAAGGCTCTATAAGGTCCAGCACTGAAACGTCCTAGTTTCGTTCTATCCACTGCAAAATTGTACCTGGCATTCTGTTGCATTTCAGCAGTTGGTGAAGCGCATGCCGCAGAATAAGTAGAAACATAATCTACAAACCAATTTTTTAATGTGATAAACAAGGTAATGTAAACGAATTAGAATTTAGAACATATACAGTGAAGAAAAAAAAACTTTTTAACAGGACGGACCCCCCTTCAAGTTGCAAAATAGGCTGTATATCTTGCGAGGCCGATGTAGTTTCGAAAACTCCTCGATATGTCATTTACTGTGACCAAGGCCAACTGCTCGACATAATATGTATACTCATCCACCTCTGCACACCCAGATGACTTAGGCGTTTTTAGTCACATTTTTGAACATCGAATTGTCTCTAGCATTGTATAACTTTAAAGCGAAGAGAAGAGCTATTTGCAAGGGTCAAGAGCAGAAATTATTCTCCTTATTTATTTCTATAAACATTCATTTAGCGTAGGCCCCGCAGGGTTAACCGACGCCATCTCCTCCATCTTTTTGTTGAAAAACAAACTGATGACAAAAATTTACAAATCACGACGTAACCTTATAGACAAACAGTCACGAAAATGCGTAGCAGCGTGCCAGCTAGTATAGCTTGATTATTTTATGTCGTCGCCAACAATTCATGACATAGGATATCTTACAATAAGGTAGTTGGTGCACCGGAGTCAGATAAGACAAGTTATGCGGGAATTGGCGATAGTTTTGCACGGGAACTTCGTAATGATGTAATCTCACTTTCATTCCATTTCTTTGACGCGTAATCAGCGCACTAGAATATCATATTTATTTTATGCTGGAATAATGTATAGCGCTTACGTTCAGCCCTCCATGTATTTTTTTTTTTTTTATTGTGCTACGAGTATCAATAATTCGAGTGACGCTCAGGCTGCGTTATCACCACTATCGACCGGTCATGAGTGAAAGATAAGAAACAAATGGAATACAGCGGAACGACTTTTTACATAAACAAAAAGGACGGAACGTCGGCCACGGCGCGAATGATAGCAACGATTGAAGCGGCAGCAGCCGCAGGGCAGCCACCGCGTAAGCAGAGATAGACAGATGAAGCGAGAGGCGAGGAGCGTGTAAGAGAGGAAGGGGGCGAAGAGAAAGCGGGGAGACGAGACAAGCCGTCGTCTGGCGCTCCATCACCGCGGGTTTCGAAATATCGCACGCAGAATTAGCCGAGCGTTTGCCGCTGCATGATTGATACGTTCGCAACGCTGCATAATCACGAGCACGGAATGACAAAAGGCGTGCTGCTGAGTTTCTCGCGCCAGAGACTCGCTGGCTGTCGTCAGCTCACTCGGCATCGTACAGGCGCTGCCGGGTTCGACCTTATACAGTTCGCCGGCTGCAAGCTAACACCAGCCGGCGTTGGCGCAGTAGTATACCTCGGCGTTTTACCGCACGACTTCATACGTACACGTTTAGCACCCCCTCCCCACTAAACACGCTTGTGGTGATATCCCGGTCTAGTGGGCCCATGTATACCATCGCGTTCAGTATGAGGTGATGCATAGTAGAGCGCGGCCCAGTACACTGCAAGGTTGTACAGCTGTACCGTTATGGCCTATTGTCGAGTTTTCTAGAAAGGGTTGACGCCACCACTTGCCTGTAGAAAACCTCGAAGTTACCGGTTGTGTGGCTGATATCACCGCAGGGCGAAACGATGGCGAGGGTGAAAGACAAGTCCCAAAGCCTCCCCCGACAACTCGAAAATATGTCACCGTTTGGCGCCACTGTACAACCTTATATAGTGCGCTTGGCCACGCCCTCTCGCGATATAGCTCATACTCAACGAGTTACACAGCTGCATTTTGAGCGAGTACACTTTTCCACTGCAGCGTCACTCCCAGGCTGTCACGTGGGAACATTTGGTGACACTCTTTGCGGAACGCATGCACATAAAGTGCCTGCGATCGGCGAGCTGCGTCGAAGTACATGCTGCGGTGAAGTGCTGCGTCGAAGTGCTGTACTCAAAGTAGGCAAAGTCGATACGATTTTAGACCATCGTTATCGTTGTCGGGAATGCTGTTACGCGAGAAAGCCGACTATGAATAATGAAGTCAATTGAATATGTTCCGCCTATACGAGACACGACATGCCGGTGGCATGGCAACTTCAATGCTGTTATACGCACGGCTCCTGGTTATCGATTATGCTAATGTAATTTCAACGATCTACTTCATTCGCAATAAGGATTTGTGCAAATGCGGTTTATAGTTATAGCACATATTTATGTAGCGAGCACTACATAACATAAAATACATATTAATAGAGAAGCTTATTTCAGGCAAAATATGCAATTGTTTAGGAAATCAATCAGGTGGTGAGAGAGAGAAGAAAACAATGGCAGGGCTGACCTTCCAACCCTGCCAAGACAGGTGTGTAATAAACATGTATCATAATTACTCCCCATTGCAAATAATACCTTTTTGTTTGTTTTTTGTTCGAGCTAGCAGCCTGCCGTAGAAGTGACATTCGTTGCGCTAATGTGCACACACTAGAAATGACCCTGCACGCAAAGCTTATATAGGCTCGCTTGCAACGTACTCCAAGCTATGTCCGCGAAAATTTCTCATAATGTATATATAGCTAACCGTAAATAGCAAGCATTCAGCCAATCCAGTTGCGCGACATATCATTATAGTTAAACCACGGGCTGGACTGTTGACGAGGAAAACTTGGCGAATCCATCGTGAGACAATGTCATCAAGTGCTAAATAATTGTCGTACACTCATTCCGCATGCCACGCGTTTGCAACACGAAGTGACGGAGATTAGCGCCAACGCCTGAGCAAGCCATCAAAAAGATGATTGATGAAGTAAAGCATAGACACGAGTATTCCATCCGAGAAAATCAGTCAGGGAAGACTGAAAGAGTGTAACCGTTTGTCGCTGTCTTCACCCATAGATTTTATCCTCAATCGTAAATTGGTTAAATGATCGTTACGTAACATGACAAACAGATAAAACATCATTAACATACTCTCACTGGTAAAAAGGTAGAGTGAGAGAAATCAATCCTATCGACAGGAAAGGCAGTCTATAGGTCACGAGACAAAATAAAGCTGTAAGATAGACGGCGTCCATGTACAACCTCACTGCATTCTGTATTTAGGGTTGTAAAGCGAGGTAGGGTTACACATCATCACGTCTAGAGTGAAGCACCAAGCTGATACTTCGTTATCCTCATTACGGACTGAATCGGCCGCTGATCGCCCTCTTTTGTCGCGCCCGACCCCCGGGAAGCCGTCTGAGTAGAGCGTGCTGTTAGCGGAGCCGTTAGCTCTTCCGGAAGCCGTGATGGATAGCGGCCGAGACCCCGAAGAGCACTCGGGGATCGCGGTTCTCGCCGTGTCCCGCGGCGGCGGGAGTATACACGGAATCCCTCGGAAACGTCCGCACTAGGTTAACCCCCGGTCGATGGCTCGCTTCGATTGCCGCTCCTCGAGTTTACCTGGCCTTTCGTTCCTTCCTACCTGACCATAGAAACTACAAGGTGGCCCCGCAACGGCCTCCGGCACTCTCGAGAGCGAAGCAACGCGCGCGGCAGGCGATAGATGGCGCTGGCAAGCGACCGCGGAGGCGGTGTCGCCGGCAGAGGCGGCGTCCCGTCGGCGTGGCCCGTCTAGCGTCCGCCCTCCGCTCCTCCCCGATTGATCGCGCGGCGCGCGGCGCGGCACGCTCGCGCGGCAGTCGGCTATAAAAAAATGGCCAGGCAAGAGCGCGTAGCGCGCGACTCGACCCGCACCCTCCGCTAGAGCTGCACGGGCAGGCCATGTGTGTCCACAGGTAGTCGTCGCGCCGTTTCCATGGCGACGCGCCGTGTTGTCGTCGCTCGGGGTGTGCAGGCCCCCCGCCGGCCCGCGCGGAGCTGCGCCAGTGAGCAGTGAGAGTCGGAGCCGCCGCGTACGACGCGCGCAACAGTGGAAGCAGCCACGCGGGGGCCCCGGGCCCCGCCGCTCGCGCATGGGGCAGCAGCAGCCGGTGTCACGTGACGACGACGCCTGAAAGCAAAGAAAGGGAGCGTTATATCCCCCCGTGTTATTTCCCCCATCCACGATGAACTCCAATGTGGTGTACGCGAGCATGTGTCACAACGGCGACGGCGCTTCGGCGCCCTACGCTTCTTCGGCGCAGCACTACGACCTGGCGGCGCAGGTGTACTTCCCGGCGGCGCCGGCGGAGAGTGCGTACGGACCTCCCGCGGCCATCTCGTTCCCGGGGGACCCGCGGACGCCGCCGCTGCACGGTGACCCTTCGTCTCTCGGTCACCACCCGCACCACCATCAGATCATCAACGACAACAACGGACTGAGCTACACCAACCTGGACCAGCAGGCAGCCGCGGCTGCGGCGGCGGCTGCGGCCGCCGCCGCGGGCTACCACCTGCACGGCGGGGCGCCCGCAGGGGCGCACCGCGGAGGCTACGGCTCCCCCGGCGGCGCCAGCCCTCGGCCCGCGCCCACCACGGCGACCACGGGCTTTCCGTACCGGGGCGCGGGCGGCCTGGAGTACGCGCACATGGAACAAGTGGCCGGAGTGCACCATGCGGCCACGCCGGGTGACCACCACATGGCAGAGCGGGCCGGCATGCACCACGCGTCGGCGGCCGGCTACCCGGCCAGTGCTTACCTCGATCCGCTGACGCTGACCACGCAGAGGCGCAACGGCTACGCTGGAGCCTACGACGGCTACGAGCAGGCGGTGCGGGACAGTTGCCAGCACAACGGCGCCGCTGCGGCGGCCGCCGCGGCCGCCGCGTACCAGGCATCGTCTCACGCGCTGGCGGCGCGCTCCGGACTGTCGCCGCCGAAGCCGGCGCCGGTGCCCACCTACAAATGGATGCAAGTCAAGCGCAACGTGCCCAAGCCGCGTAAGTGTCCGATCCTCTCCTCTCGCGATGCGCAGTGAGCCGCCGGCGGCTACGGAGCCGCGGTTTATAAGAGAGCGCGCTGTCAAGTTATCTCCTCGGGCAATCTCGCCCGTTGCGAGCGTGTGATTGACACTGACGGTCGCCGATGGAAGGCCGGGAGGGGTGCATCGTTTCCCCTTCGGTCGGGTCGATTTCCGAGTATCATTGTTGTTCCGCGCCATGCATGTGCCATCTGCGCTGTTGACTCCGTCTCGCGGCACGTCGCACAACAGCTGAACGCGTACACGTATACGATGCCCGCCATTATGATGAGTGCTGTGCTCCCACAACGCCGCGGTTCTCGGTGGTGTGCTTATCCCGAACGCGATCGGACGGACCATCAAGGGAAGATCCGAGTCCATTGTGTAGAGGTTAATCGATCTTTCGAGATGGACGTAGTGTGGGGTTTGTGTACGAGCGGGAACTGGAGGTCCAGTTTTACAAAGACGCGTTATGTACAATTTGCCAGTTTTCCATATCAAAAAGGAGTGGTAGAATAAATGCATCGTCTCGTGCATAGGTGCAGTTCGATGCGTAGGTCAGTTACCGTACTCAGTTATTCAAAACGGCGATGCTGAACCATTCTAGCCCACCCGGTAGTCTAAACGTGGCGATTTTATTGCAACTGGAACACTCAATAACGACTGCTCAAGGTTAGGTTCATTAATGTATAGGTTTAAAGGTCCTTTGTTGCGGAGCTGCATCATGTGTATTATTTTGGCGTGTACAGTATACGATTCAGTACTGTGTGTGGAGCGTTTTCCACATGTTGCATTCGTCGCTAAACAGTAAAGAATAACTGAGCGGCTGCATTTTATTTTTCTATAGCGAGGTAACTGCCCCCAAGCAAACTGCTTTCTTGCGCTGAACGGGACGCAATTCATTTTATGTACCACTGTGTACTTGTGCGAAAAGTCGTTTTCTTCGCGATGATTTATCGTCTTGATGAATGGGCTGTTGTCACGCGAAATGTCTTTGTGGGCCCGTCTTTGCTGCTTGTTTATACTTTGCAAGCCAGTGAATGCACTGCGAGAAAGTGGCGTAACATCGCAAGGTACCGGCATAGTTCTTTTGTGGGTGCTTTCTTTTTATTTCGAAATTTGAGTTCCCCTAATAAATTATCTACTCCAGCTTTGTACAGTTAATCAAGCAATTAAAGTAAAAAGCTATTCGACAATAAAAGAGAAGGAAGGCCGGAATACTTATTTGCTGCGTATGCTAGGTAACTATTTTAACTATTCATGGTGTAACTATTCAACGAAGGGACGTTTGTTTAACCTGTCATTTTACTTTGGTCAGAGCACTTCACGAATGAAGTGAGCGCCTCGTATATACGTTTACACGTAATCAGACTTCGTTAAGGTACACGCTGCAGACTTTAGGGTGAAAAAAACATTCAATAAATAAAAAAGGCTCACACAAATCGTGTTGTCGGCGTCAGCAGTTTTGACGTGTATAACGAGTATCGCACAAAAAAAAAAAATGTGGCACACTTATTGTGAAATAATTTTTCGAAATCTAATGGTTTTGACTTTCTCAACTGCCACGTTGCACAATATTAACCCGTACAATTTTTGTTCATCCCAAGCACTGCTTAATTTGTTTCAATTCAAAATGACAGCGGCCTTTAAAAAAAAGCGTTGGGTTCTCCGCAACTTCAAACAAACAACGAACGATCTATAGCGTAATGTCTGAGATGTTGGAGTTACTCTGCATTGATAGTTCTTCGCAATGATTTTGTTTGGTGGTTTGTTTGTTTTTCTATACATTTCGATCACGGTAAATGCAAAAACAGTGTCGAAAGGAAAAGAAACATATTCCCAGGAATAGTATTAACTTTTCCTGATATTTGCTCAATATGGTAAAAACAAAACATATGTATATAACGATACCGACACAGAGATTACTGCTGGATGAGAAATAAAGATTCTCAGAAAGAAACATTGAAACGTTCGAACTGGAAACTTCTGCAATCAGTATACTTTGCGGCCTTGTATTACAGATCATCGTGACATCACGTAAAAAACACGGGCGTTGACGTCACAGTGTTATGGCACAGCTTCGAAACTCAGGCTCTACTTGAAAGGCACGAACACCGCAATGCGGAGCAAACTCGCTGAGTGCGCGCACGACTAATCCTTAATCTTACGCTCACATTCGTTTACAAATGGAGTCACACATACGATTCGGTTTACATACCGTGCATGGCTAACATCGTTAACCTGACCAAGTCGCTGGAATTTGGCATGCAAAATGCTAAATACGTGCGTATACAATGCATCGTACTCGCCAAACGGCTATTATGTATACGCTGGACGTCTTCGAAACAGCATGCCACAAATTCATGAAACCGTATGTATCGAAAACTGCATTACTAATGGCGTACCTATATATAGCTCTTACGGTGTGGAACGCGTGGCCTTCGAATTATGTCTCAGTTTATTGCAATTTTATTTTCCACGTATACGCCCAGCACCCAAGATTTACGGAATGTTGATTCCACATTTATCTTTAACACTATAGTAATGCTACAAACATATATGTATACAGCTGCTGAATGTGTTGTTAACTGATGCGGGCTGGAAGATAGCTGGAACATAGCGAGGAAATAGTCTTCTCGAGCATTTAGCGTTCGGGGAAGCTTTTGCTGTGTGATGTAGGTACATACCCGTTCCCGTGCGTTTAAGGGGATTCATTATCTTGCAATCGTTTTGCGCTGTTATACTGCAAATCGCTTTCCGTCTCTTTTCAAAGCTACCAAGCGATGACGTAAAAGATGCGTATAAGTTAACCCTGGATACAGTATACACGCAGAACTGTATTAAAGTGTTTAAACCATACTTTGCTATACAACGCTCTTATAATAGTAATGATATTTTGATACATCGCCATTACGTCGTCTGCAGAGACTGTGAAAAACAACGCCGAAGCGTCTTTCGAAAATGACACGAAAATGAAAAAAAGGCATTGTCAGCGTGGCTATTAATACTTCATATGATGGTTTATTATACGCAGCTTTTAAAACACCGTTTGCAGCCAAACATTTGCAGCCATTGGGTCTCGTAACCAAATGGGAATTGCCCTCATTGCTCATTTTCTGTTCGCTATTTGGTTTCTGCTGTTCACGCACACGCTATATATGTTGGCTAACACCATATGGCGAATTTAACGCACCAAAATGTTTATACGTTTACGTGCTTAAATTATACATGAAAAATCATATGACTCTCGCATCAGCGGGAACTGCATGCAGTTCTCGCTTAAATGTCGATCACGAAAAACTGTTCAGCTGATTTTTCGCTTGTTTCGTATACTCACATGTAAATGCACTCGTGTATCTTTGCCGATATCGTTGGGTCACTCCACGCTGCTATAATTAGACGCGTCCGCATATATAGAAAAAAAAACAGAATTGTTGCGAATGAATTTTCCCATGGCTTGCACAGGTCTGCCACGAGGGATGCCAAGTGGCACGTTAGTTTTGTAGCGCCGTCTTAACGTTTGAGTTCTAATGCGTGAGACTCAATGTATTGATTTGATATCTATACATCTTAATGTGCTCCGCATATATGTTTGCGCTTTGTTTACATAACATGACAAACACTCGAACGCTGTACGTTTTGATATACGGGTTTGCATGCTATAGAAAAAGTCTTTACCAGAAGTGGCAAGGTGAAATGAGTGTATAAAACTCGGGCCGTATCTGGTAAATTTGTTCTTGAATAATAACAGCGCACAGCATTAAAGAGTGTTGTGCCATTCTTTCTTCGCCGTTTTCAGTTCTTGTTAATGTATATAAATACAGCCCTGAGCCTAACGAGATGGTTACTTTGTCCACGTAAGTGCGTCGATACGTGTTTCTGTTCAACGCTGACGTGTCGACAAAATTTACGTTTCTTGTATACGTTACTGACGTGATATGAGCATCACGAATACGATAATAATATCCGGGGTTTAACGTCCCGAAACCATGATTAAGAGAGACACCGTATAGTGAATGGAACCGAAAATTTTGACTACGCGTTTTTTTTAACGTGCACATAAATGTAAGCACACGGGCCTATACAGTATTTTCGCCTCCATTGAAAATGCAGTTGCCGCAGCTGGGATTCGATCCCATGACCTTCGGGTTAGCAGTCGAGCCACTAAACCACCGCAGCATGGGCAGTATCACGAGTATACAAGCAACTGCTTTCCACTAATGTGAACGTATGTTTCCAAGTCTAGCCACGTGTGTTCATTCTTGCTTTTCTTTTTCGAGAATCGATGTCTCGTCAAGAACGGTAGTTCAGATGCGCAGTGCATATATATGAAACTGTGAAAAGCTCGAAATGTATTCCGTGCATGCGCCCTGGAGAATTTATGACCTTCAGCGTCCTGCGTACAGTTGGCTCGTTTTTAGTGGGCTATATATATGGACCAGAACTTTCATGACTTGTAAAGGGCCTCTTATATCTTTGGCTGAGAGCTGGTAAGCTGAAGTGAAAGACCATGCGAACTCCGTCCAGACTGTCCTGACCACAGCTAGTGGCTCGCTATCAGTTGCTGTGTGCGATAAGTTATCAAGATGGAAGAGAAAGAGATGCGCCGACAGGCGATAATTGGCGTCAAGATAAATCGCTATATTTTAACGTTACCTATATACGATATTCTGGTGCAACGTTCCAGATACTGTCATCAAGCGAAACTGCAGCACGATGTTTTACTGAATTACTATATAGGATTGGAATTTTCTTGGGTCGCACATATTTTCCCGCATTTCTGTTCGAATAAAAACAACAAAAAACACAGCGGAATGACGTTTTACCGTTATGCTTTCTCCAAACACTGCGTGTATATAAAAAGTCGGATTGAATGAAACAAAAATCACAATATATCCACGGAGTGAACGATGATGAGTTGTGCGAAGCGCTGTAGGGTTTCATCGCTAAATTGTGAACCATCCGCGAAAATCGTCCACT